CACTACCGCTAGGAAATGCTGAGGATTTTTTTGCTGGGGGGGGGGGGTCTTAAATTGTGGTCCCCTTTGCTTTAATGAAGAACTGAAGTTTTTAAATCAGGTATTTGAAGGAGGAAGTTCTGTGCAGCTTTACACCTTCATTAAATTTGAAAGCAATTTGCCACCCTGTGAAATAAATTATTACACTTTCTATAATAAGGAACAAAAGAAAATATAGTTATATTGCCTTTAAAAGCATCCTTTGGTGAAAGATGCAATGGAAACAAAGCCTACAATCGAAGAATTTCGTTAAGAAGGGGATTCCTTTGTTTGGAATTCTAGGCATCGGTTGAAACGTCAGTGCCCTAATAGTATGATCGTTTCAGAAGCTTAAACTGGTTTTTTTCCCCCCTTTCTGTTTCCATCTATTTTTTAAACTGCATATAAATGTAGCAAGCTTGTGTGCCCACCACCCAAGGCATGCCGAACCTAGATACCATTTCACATTTGCAGGGGCCTGGAGATCCACACGAGGGCGCGCTCACGTTCCAGAAGCCGCGTTTGACCAAGAGGCCGCGGTACCTATCCGTCCAATACTGGATTCTAATAGGCGACCCCAAGCCCTTAGTAACAGGCGGCCGCTAAGGTGTTTGCTAGTTTGTTTGTTCTAAGCAGCCATGAGGTGTGAGAAGTTGTATAGAGACAGAAAACGGAACAACTAGATTCATGAAACAGATCACCTTGTCTCTTTAAAGATAAAGCTGCTGCAAAAGAGTACCATGGTATAACTTGATAGTGTGGAGGAGAGTTTTAAAAGATAAATGCATGCATTTTGAAATATGTCATAGTCACTGCTAATTAGTTTAATTAGGGAAATCGGTTTTCTTGGTTTCAGTGTGGAGAGCCTCGTCTAGGGTTGGACGCCCCTCACTTACATCCCCCTCCCCCCTCAAAAAAAACAAAAATCTTCATCGGTTTTGCCGGCTCTCAGACCGCCTGAGGTTATTAAAAGTCTTTTGTTTATAACAGATCAGGGCGCGGGCAACTTAGCCGAATGTCTCTCAGAAAAAAAAAAATAATAATAATAATAAGACGCGTGGAGGACTGGGAGAGTCGTTCTGGGTTAGGGAGACGGGGGCCGTGCCTGGCGTGCGCGGCTACCCGTGGCGACCGGGAGGCGCCGGCAGGACTGTGAGTTGGTGTGCCCAGGCCAGGCTGGGCTGATGCGGCCACGGGAGGCAGCAGGCACTCAGGGGGAAACGTTTATACTTCAAGGCGTTGTGGAACAGGGAATGTATTTGAAGCAAACGGACTTTGCGTTTAACAGAACACTGGCCACCCTTCCAAACTGCACACCGGTCTTGCGGAGCGGAGTTGAATTTTGGCTCTCAAAAGCAGTGTATTTGTTGAGTGCCCTCCCTTCCCCAGCAAAGCCCCTGACCTTGGGGAGGGCCTGTGTCCCCGTCCCGAGTCAAAAAGAGAGGAGACAGGGCTCCTGAACATTGGCCTCTCTAAGGGAGGATGACTGCCACCTTTCGCTCTCCGAAGTTCATTGTGAAGAGCCTCCAACCCCCAGAATTAGCGCCGGCCTCGTTGGCTCCACTGTGTGTCTTCCGCCCTCCAAGCCCTGGACCAAAGGCCCTGGGGCCTGTCGCTCGTCTGCCTCCCGGAGCTGGCATTAGCTTTGGCGGGGAGGCTGGGGCGCCAGTGAGCCCCCGACGAGGCGCCAACGAGTGGCGTGGGTGTTTCCCGTGGGCAACCTTGGCTCCACTAGTCTGACCGCCGGCCCAGCTTGGCTATAGTGAGTCGACCTTACCGGAGTCTGAACCGGACCACGGTCTTTGTAGGGTGAGAACCGCCCTCCCCAAATGTCGTTGTGTTCCTGGTAAGGCGGCCCCAGCGGCTGCACATCTGGCTGTGCGGGGGCCCCTTGGCCTTGGCTGGCAGCCGCCTGCGGAAACACCGCTTCTCAGCGGTCTGCAGCTTCTTTCCTCCCTGCACCCAAGATGGGCCTGACAGGGGCCGGGGATCAGACCAGGGCCCCTGGGGGGCTAAAGCCCTCTCCCCACCCCCGTTTTTCAGAATGTGTGGGGCTTGCAGACTGGGGCCTTGGATGCTGAAGCGCCAAGGTCTCAGACTCTGAAGTGGAAGGGAAATGCCCGAAGTAGGAGTCTTTTGTGTCTGTGCAGAAAGAGGCTCTCCGGCTGCCCGCCCTTGTCGCACGTCTGGATAGACCTCTTATCACATTGATGGTAGACTCTCCATTTGCCCCCTCGATTTCCTTTCACCTTGGCCTGGAGGTGCACAGTGCAATCCGGAAAAGCACCCTGGGAAGACAACTTTTAATTGATCCCATCCCCTCTGTCCCCAAAGAGTGGCACAGCCCAGAGGCAGCTCAGGACCCTAATCCGGGGTTACCCTAAGAGCCCACAGGTCCACTCAGGCCCAGGGCTTCAACTCTTCTTCCAGGAGACAAGAGTGCAGCTGCAAGCCACTTTTTGATTACAAATGCTAATTTCTTGCTCAAGCTATTCTTTAAATTTTTCCCTGGAAAGAACTGTGGCTGGGAGAAAGGCGTCTTGGTACAGATATGGGTATCCATCTCCTTTATGGTGCAATATTGATTTATTATTAATGGTAACTGCTCCAACTGATCTAAAGATGATCGAAGACAGCAGCTACATTAAATACTCATAAGCAAAATAAAGGCTGGCCTTTAGAGCACTGCCTCTTTATTCCATTTGTCTCATCTCAGCCTTTGAGTCTTAGGCACACTTTCCATCCTTTGGGGCCCAGATCATTCTTTTGTATTATTTCTATCTTGCTCCATTTTTTAGTAATAAAATCTCTCAAAATACTGACAGTCTGTGGTCTCAAGGAGTGGGTCTGAAGGCAGAAATTTTAAAGAGAAAAAAATATAATTTGGTGAGAACAGATTCCAAATTATATCTGATACACACATTTTTGTCTGTGAGTAAAAACCTATTTAACTTTAACCATTATGAGAGTGACTTTGAGCTCAAAGCCACTGAGCGCTGAAATGGAAAGGTCCCCAAATTCTGAAGACACGTCTTGCCTATCCTGGCTCACTGCAGACCTACCCGCCCGCAAGGAATTGCTTGTTTTTAGCCTGAATGTTTTCTTCATGTATAAATAAAGATTATGAAAGGGCATTTGATGGGCATAAAATTCCCGATTAGATTGAACAGTCTTGCCTTGCTTGGGTAGGGAGAATTGGGCAAACGAGTTCCTGAGGCAGCTCTCCTGTCGAAGAGGCAAAAGGGCGACACTCGATACTGCTGGAGCGCCAGGCTAGTGTCAGGGCGCCTGCCGCAAGCGAGTGCAGCGGGCACATTATCCAGACTTGGGCACGCTTAGCCCTGGCTTGGAACTAGATCTCCACCATGTGAGAAAGCAAATTTCAGGGCACCGGTCAGTGGCTGCTAGCTTTGAAAGGGACCTTAGCAACCTAGAGTCAAAAGTTATGGTTTTTTTTTTTTTTTTTTCTGCCTTCCTTAACTGCCGCCCCCCCCACCCCTGCAAGCTTGAAAATAGCTACCCCTGTGGAAAGGTAATGTTTAAACCTTGGGCTATGCTGGGATGCCGCAGCCGAAGCTGTTAGAGGCGCCAGGCTTTTAACCTGACAATGATGTTGTATTTGAACAGCTGCGTAAAGGTTTAAAAGGTCTGTCTCATTGCCACCGAGGAGTTTTTTAAAAGAGGTTATTGTTTAGGCGAGGGCACTGAGAGGGAACAGGCGAAACGGTCCCAAGGCCGAAAATAATGTTCAACGCTTGTTTCCACCAGGCCAGGGGAGATTCCTTTTTGGAGAGGGACAAAGGGTTTGTTGGGAGAGGTTTTTGTAAAGGAGCGGGCAGGCTACTAGGTCCCCAAGAATGCCGAGGCGCTTTAATGAACATCAGTCCCCAAATAAATGTTTTGTTGAGGCAGAAACCCAATTTGTCCACAAGTTCAGTCTCTGGGCCTGAAATCCAAGGCCAACCCATGCCCAGTGAGTGTGGGGAAAAGAGAACACAGATGCCTTCTCGGCCTGAGAACTGGTTCATGGTCAGAGTTTCTGGGGCTGCTTTACTTTCTTGGCTGCGGGAAGGGAACCTGGCAGGCCGAAGGACGGCTCCAAGCCCTGGCTGGCCCCTCACTCAGGGCAAGTCTTTGGAAATCAAGGTTAAAGCTCCCTGCTGCTGCCCCGAGGCCCCGGCTTCCGCAGGGCGGCTCACCCGCCTGCAACCAGAGAAGGAGGGAGGAAGTTGTTGAAGTTTCTCATAAAACTCTGAGTTTCCACTGCGGTGGTGGTGGTAGTGGTGGTTCTTTAATGAGCTGGACCACAACCCCAGACCATATCCTCTTTATAGATCTTGCCCTCACCAAAGGAAGCAGAGGACTAAGATTCGTCCTCCTTCCCCTCCCTTACCCAAGCAAAGCCTTGTCAAATAATTTTAGGAATTGGCCAAAACTATAAAACTTAACTTCTGACAAAAGTGTAGCTTTTAATATTTGACAATTTGTGTTAAAACAAAAATTGACCTTCTTGGTTAGCAGCGAAGGGAAAAAAAATCAATAGTATAATTTTCAATAATTCATAAAGCGAACGCCATTATGCTAAATTTAACTATTAATCTTATCCTTTACAAAGTCTCGATTGATTTGTTAATAAAGTATCTTCCCGTGTGTGGCAACAGCGGGCATAACTCTTTAAAAACCTTCAGAAGCAAGAAAATTACCAAGTAGCCCAAGAATGTAGATGAGAATTTTATTGATCGCCCTGATTCTTCTTAATATGTATTAATAAATTCCACAACCTTTTGTACCTTGCACTTGTCAGAAACCAATGCTTTTACAAAATCCATAAAAGGAAAACATATTTTTCTTTGCAGAAGAACCAAATGACACCTTTGCATTTCTTTCTGCCCTTCTTGGCCCAGTCAGTTTTCTGGAACTTCTGGATTCTGAGGGTCAGCGTTTTTCCCTTTTCTTAATTTTTTTTTCCTTTCTTCCTTCCTTTCTGCGCTCTGTTATCAGGGTGTGGGGAGGGAAACCTGGGTTTAGTTCTTCCGCAGGGAGCGGGAGAGACGCTTTCGCGGATAGTCAACTGCTGGCAAAGAATTGTCTCTGGGCTGAAAGCTCCCGGAGGCCCGGCTCCGCAGAGGTCAGGGTGTGGTTGCTCTGAGAGCCGAAGGCTAGTGTAGCCCGCCGGGGCACATAGGGACCCGGAGCCAGGCAGGAGAACCAAGGGAGAGGACAACGCCGGGATCCGACCCAGCTACGGGGATCCGGGCCCGGCCGGCTGCTTGGCCTCTCGGCCCTCGCAGCCCTTTTTTCCTCCGCCCTCCGAGAGACACCTTGGCAGCTTCTTTGCCCCAAGGGATCTTTCCTTTGGACCCCTGGGGTGGGATGTCTCAGGGCCGGCGGAATCCGACTCACCTTCCCCGCTGGGCAGCCCGGGACTAAATTAATCAGCCTGCGCCCCCACCCTCTTGTCCTGGACCCGGCCCTCTTAAGCGCGTTCTGCCTGGGTGTGTACGGGGGATGCTTCTGTGCGCTGGCGCCAGGGCACTCTGGCTTCCCTCCCCGTCCGTGCGTGTCCACTCGGAGGCTCTCTCGGGCCGAGCCTTTCCTTTTGCCGGCTGGGCCCAGTGGCCGAAGAGGGGTACGCGAGTGGGGCGGGCTGGTGGAGCGAGCCCTGGAGAGGCGGACAGGAGGGCGGCGGAGAGCGCTGGGCCGGTTGTCTCCAGCGCGCACTATCGCGGGCGCGTAGTAGATGTCGCTGTTGTCCGTGCTTACGCGGCCGGCCGGCCGGGCTCTGGAGCACGTGACCTGAGAGGAGGCTGCGGCTCAAGGCCATTTTCAAATCTCATTGGCTTGGTTGTCATGTGGTCGGCAGAGGCATCCACAATTACACGGGGAATGTTTTCCTAGAGATGTCAGCCTACAAAGGACACAATCTCTCTTCTTCAAATTCCTCCCCAAAATGTCCTTTCCCAACAGCTCTCCTGCTGCTAATACTTTTTTAGTAGATTCCTTGATCAGTGCCTGCAGGAGTGACAGTTTTTATTCGAGCAGCGCCAGCATGTACATGCCACCACCTAGCGCAGACATGGGGACCTATGGAATGCAAACCTGTGGACTGCTCCCGTCTCTGGCCAAAAGAGAAGTGAACCACCAAAATATGGGTATGAATGTGCATCCTTATATACCTCAAGTAGACAGTTGGACAGACCCGAACAGATCTTGTCGAATAGAGCAACCTGTTACACAGCAAGTCCCCACTTGCTCTTTCACCACCAACATTAAGGAAGAATCCAATTGCTGCATGTATTCTGATAAGCGCAACAAACTCATTTCGGCCGAGGTACCTTCTTACCAGAGGCTGGTCCCTGAGTCTTGTCCCGTTGAGAACCCTGAGGTTCCCGTCCCTGGATATTTTAGACTGAGTCAGACCTACGCCACCGGGAAAACCCAAGAGTACAATAACAGCCCCGAAGGCAGCTCCACTGTCATGCTCCAGCTCAACCCTCGTGGCGCGGCCAAGCCGCAGCTCTCCGCTGCCCAGCTGCAAATGGAAAAGAAGATGAACGAGCCCGCGAACGGCCAGGAGCCCACCAAAGTCTCTCAGGTGGAGAGCCCCGAGGCCAAAGGCGGCCTTCCTGAAGAGAGAAGCTGCCTGGCTGAGGTCTCCGTGTCCAGTCCCGAAGTGCAGGAGAAGGAAAGCAAAGGTCGGTATGAGCAGAGTTGCCTCCCCAGCGGGGCGCGCAGCCCGGGAACCGGCAGAGAGGGAGCGCCCGGGTGCCCAGCCCCGAGCCGGCGCCCGACCTGGCAGGTGCTGCTCCGCCTGGCTTTTAGAGGGGTGATCTCAGCCCCGAGATAGTCCCTGCTTCTCCCCTGCTGCCCTGGCCCTCCCCGCCAGTCCTGGCCCCACGCTGATGGCGCCCGGGCAGAGGAAAAGCTTGCCGGTTTTATTTTTCCTGAGCTAGACCTGAAACACAACAAAAGAGCGTAAAGGAGACCTGCGGCTGGTAAACACGACCCCAGAGCCTCCTTTCTCCTGCTCAGATTTGCAGTTCCAGTTTTGCCTTGAGCCCAATAATCATTTTAAGGTTACCCAGAGCACCGTGTTCGTGTTCAAGTGTATGCACCCCGCATCCTGCGAGCTTGGGGGTGGTGAGGAGAACGAGATGGCTGGGCTGGTTGGTGCTTGGGCTGCGGAACAGGAATTCCTGCCTTTGCTGGACTAGGTAACCTTGGCTTTGTTTAGGAAAAGTGCCGCAGGCTTTGCAATCCGTCGCCAAAGAGGGCAAAATCGGAGGGGGAGAGTGGAACCCGCATTGCCCACTCTGTAAGGCCAGCCTTACGGCTGGGCTAGGGCAAAGAGCCATGGATCTGGCTTTCTGAGAAGGAAACCTACCCCTGCTTCTCTTCCCCAATGCTCAGTGGTGGATCACAGTAGGGAGCTCCATTTCTGGGGGAATGCTTTTGTGTGGGGGCAAGAAGACATGAAAATTCAGGAAATTCTGGGGAATGCAGCAATACTCAGGCAGGGTGGGGAAGGTGTTCTTGCTTCCCCATGTATCTTTTGAAAGAGAATGGGCACCTATAAACCTGACTGTGGGGCTCCCTGACTGCCTAGGAAGAAGCGGCAGACTTGGGGACCTGAGGCAGCAGTGGGATTGGTAGGCTTGTCCAGGTTGTGGCTTATTCCCCTCTGGCCCTGTCAGGAGCTGAACCCTTAGAATGTTGCTGGGGAGATCTGGAAAGTTTACTATTATACTAATGTTTTGTACAAGTCAGAAAGTTGAAAGAGAAAGAGAGAACCCAAATGCAATGTCCTGCTATCATGTCATTTAAGTAATGTGGCATCCATGTAAGATTCCTTTCCAGGGCCCACTTCATGTGAGTAATGTTTAATACTAGCATTTTCCAGAGCGGCCTGGCTGCCAGCAGGGTCATGGCCAAGGGTACGTTTGAACAGACTGAGAAAAAAAAAAAACCATCTTGATTTTCTTTTCTTCTTCTCCCTTTAATTTTGTTAGAGGAAATCAAGTCTGATACACCAACCAGCAATTGGCTCACTGCAAAGAGTGGCAGAAAGAAGAGGTGCCCTTACACTAAGCACCAAACGCTGGAATTAGAAAAAGAGTTCTTGTTCAATATGTACCTCACCCGCGAGCGCCGCCTAGAGATCAGTAAGAGCGTTAACCTCACCGACAGGCAGGTCAAGATTTGGTTTCAAAACCGCCGAATGAAACTCAAGAAGATGAGCCGAGAGAACCGGATCCGAGAACTGACCGCCAACCTCACGTTTTCTTAGGTCTGAGGCCGGTCAGAGGCCAGGATTGGAGAGGGGACACCCCGTTCCAGGGCCCAGTGCTGGAGGACTGGGAAAGCGGAAACAAAACCTTCACCGCTCTTTGTTTTTTGTTTTGTTGTATTTTGTTTTCCTGCTAGAATGTGACTTTGGGGTCATTATGTTCGTGCTGCAAGTGATCTGTAATCCTTATGAGTATATATATATATATATATATTAAAAAACTTAGCACGTGTAATTTATTATTTTTTCATCGTAATGCAGGGTAACTATTACTGCACATTTTCATTTGGGTCTTAACTTATTGTAGAGCATCCATCCATCCATCCATCCAGCAATGTGACTTTTTCATGTCTTTCCTAACACAAAAGGCTCTGTGTGTGTGGTTAGTACATGAATTCATGGCATTTTGAATACATCCAGTACTTTTAAAATGACATATATATTTAAAATAAAATATTAAGAAAACCCACAAGCTTGGAGGGAGGGGGACTAAAAAAGCACATTCCAATGTATCTTTTCACAAATGAATTTAGCAATTGTCTTTGGTGAGATGGAACATTGACGATTTATGCCTTGTAGCCTTTCCCTTGTGGTGCATCTGTGGTTTGGTAGAAGTACAACAGCAACCTGTCCTTTCTGTGCATGTTCTGGTCGCATGTATAATGCAATAAACTCTGGAAACCAGTTCGCTCCCTCTGCTTTCTGAAATGGAGATATGTTATGGTAGAAATGAAAGCCTATGGTGAGATTATCTACTGGTTAAACACCCTGTTTGGGGCATTTGAGTAGGGGAGTGATAGACTAATAGGGGAAGGGAGATGGGTGAAAAAAGCTGGAGGAGGCCTAGGGTGTTGGATTTTGGCAGTGGTTGGGGGAGAGGAGTGATAAGCCAGCCTGAGAGTGCAGTTTTCATAATTGGGAGGAAGGGGAGTCTCCTCTTTCCTTTCTCAGCCCCCAGCGATAGTAACATAATTGCCACTCTCAATGGGTGTGAGCTTCCCTCTGGCCTGAGCCTGGTAAGTAAGCCTATACCCCAAGCCACTTTCTCCTCAAAGCTTCCCATTTGTGTGTTTTCTCCTCTTTGGTTTTGGCTGTGTTGTTTTTAATGCTTTCAGTGGCATCTTGGTGATTTCTGGCTGGCGAGCAATCATCAGGGGCTAGGTTGAAGCTAGTCTTGCCCACCTGGAAGCTGCCGGCCTCCATTACAGGAGCAAGGACAAGCGGCAGTTTAGCACTGCAGCGGATCCAATTCTGCCCCCTTTCCCTCAGCCCTACCCCCATCCCAAGCGCAAGACAGCCAGACCTCAGAGAAGCCAAGGATGGGTGAGTTTTCCCATCCCACTTTGCCTTGGTCTCCTTGTGGATGGGTTTTGTGCTCTGTCATTACCTTTTAGTGGCCCACATGAAATTTTTTTAAAGGAAGAAATGAAAAGATTTTCCCCAGTCTTTCCTTTATTTATAATATAATGCAAAAAGGGTGACTGAAAATTTTGCAAATGAACATGAATTCCCATGAAGTCCAATGTTCCATTTGCTGCCATGGCCGGGGAGACTCCCACCAGCTTTCACCGGCTTCTGCAGGATTCCCACTAGAGAGCCCAGACTTATCTAGTCCTGTTGGGGGGCGGGGAAGGGAGGAGAGGCCTTTCGTGGAAAAGCGAACAGAAAATTCGTTACCACAGGTCCGACCTGCGGTTTCAAACAGCTTTCAGCAGTTTCACAAAAACACATCCTTTCCATTTCTTCCTTTTTAAATGTTTCCCTAAGAACAAACTATTTAGGTGCTCTAAGTCCTCATCTAGGGAGTCTCTGGGACAGTGGCCTTCAGGATTTTAAACTTCCTCCCCCAAACCAGGAACATTCCAAAACAGATCCTTTTCCAGGGCCATTTCCTGGGGGTGGGGGAGAGGGCTTGGAATCAATGCTGGATTGAAAACATTGAAATAGGTTTGCCCCAGACTTAACACCGGCTGGGCAGGAGGAGGGTAATTTTGACTTAGCCGTTTCTCCGAGCGCGTGGGGAGCGCCATCAGTTGCTGTTAGGGGGCCATGTCTCAGAGGAAAGCCTGAGCTACAAGGCAAAGGCGTCCCCTCTGGAACAAAAATCAGAAAGCTATTGGCAAAGGTAATCAATCAGGCCATACGTAGCCATTTACTCTCTTCCTTTTCGGGGCTGGAGGTGGGCCAGGAGCCCTCTAAGGATGCGCTGGACAACTTGTGGAAGGAGGAATATGCCCTCCTCCGCCAGCGCCCCTGCGGCTTTTGTCTCGGCTCCCAGCCGGGCTTCCGAGGCTTTGTACTATGGATTTGGGAGTGACAATGGGCATTTCCCTCAGATTCAAGGCTGCTTAACCTCACCTCTGGAGGGAAAAAAAATTCAGAAGGGAGTGGCCCAAGGACCCGGCCATTCGGCCAGATTTTTAGACATTTTGGGAGTCTCCTCTGAGGCCGCGAAGCGGCCCTGCCTGGAGAGACTCACTGAGGCAGGGCTGGGACGGCGGGCGGGAGCGGGCTGCTCCACCATTTGGGTTCTGCCCTGTGGCGTGTTCTCTTCCAGGGCCTTTCTAGCAGCACCGGAGAAGATGAGGCACCGTGGCCGCCACTGTCCGTGCTGCGCCAACTCGCCCGGCCGGCCGCCCTTCCGAGGGCAAGCAGAAGCCCCTTCGCGTCCGCCGCCGCCGCGCCAGGCGGCTCGGCTCGTCCCTCGGGCCGGGCCGCGGCGTGTGCCCAGCCTCACGTCGGGGTGTGTGTGGCCGCGCGGGCGTGTGTGAGTGTGGCAGGGGGAGGGGGCACTCTGAGCTGCTCCATCCGTCCGTTTTATTAGGGACACATTAATCTATAATCAAATACACCTCATAAAATTTTTATTGAAAGGCATAATATCATTACAGAGGTCTTCCACCTGTTTTAAACAACACGACAAGCTGTGAGCGAGTGTGTGTGTGGGGATGTGTGGGGAGGGGTGGCTTTGGGTAGAGAGAGAGGAGAGGGGAGAACAGCTCCCCTCGGGCGCCAGGGGCGGCCCCCGAGGGCCCGCCTGCCTCGGGCGACACCCGGCCTTGCACGTCCCCGGTCGCTCCGTGTGCCCTGGACGCACCGCCCGCGGCTCGGGAGCTGGGGAGCCAGCGCCCGGCTTGGACTACAAGACACACCGAGGGCCGCAAGAAGAAGCGAACAAATAGTCCCCAGCGCCTCCTCCGGCCGCGGTCGCGTCTGTGGTCTCGGCCGCCGCTGGGCGGGCCCGGCCGAGCTGGGCCGGGCCGGGTCGGGCTCATGGACCTGGGCCTGCGGACTCTAATTGCGGCTCTTATGTTGATGATTTTTTTTTTTTTTTTTTTTTTTAATCACAGCAGCCCCCAGTTTAGCGGACTGATTTACTCCCGGTATTGGTAAATATGATCACGTGGGCCGCGCGACCAATGGTGGAGGCTGCAGCCTGCGAACTAGTCGGCGGCTCCGGCGCCGGCGGGGAGCGGCTCCGCGGCGGACAGAGTAACCTTGGGTGGGAGCGCGGGGCGCCTCAAAATGTCTTCCAGTGGCACCCTCAGCAACTACTACGTGGACTCGCTTATAGGCCATGAGGGTGACGAGGTGTTCGCGGCGCGCTTCGGGCCGCCGGGGCCAGGCGCGCAGGGCCGGCCTGCAGGTGTGGCTGATAGCCCGGCCGCCGCCGCAGCCGAGTTCGCCTCGTGTAGTTTTGCCCCCAAATCGGCCGTGTTCTCAGCCTCGTGGTCCGCGGTGCCCGCCCAGCCCCCGGCGGCGGCGGCGATGAGCGGCCTCTACCACCCATACGTCCCCCCGCCGCCCCTGGCCGCCTCTGCCTCCGAGCCTGGCCGCTACGTGCGCTCCTGGATGGAGCCGCTGCCCGGCTTCCCGGGCGGTGCGGGCGGTGGCGGTGGCGGTGGCGGGGGTGGAGGCGGCGGCCCGGGCCCCAGTCCCAATCCTGGCCCAGGCGGCCCAGCCAACGGGCGCCACTACGGGATTAAGCCTGAAACCCGAGCGGCCCCGGCCCCCGCCACGGCCGCCTCCACCACCTCCTCCACTTCCTTATCCTCCTCCTCCAAACGGACTGAGTGCTCCACGGCCCGGGAGTCCCAGGGGAGCAGCGGCCCAGAGTTCTCGTGCAACTCGTTTCTGCGGGACAAGGCGGCAGCGGCGGCGGGGCGAACCGGGCCCGTGGCAGGGATTGGGGCCGGGAACGGGACGGGCGGCTCGTCGGAGCCCTCTGCTTGCAGCGACCACCCGAGCCCCGGCTGCCAGCTGAAGGAGGAGGAGAAGCAGCATCCGCAGCCGCCGCAGCAGCAACTTGACCCAAGTAAGTGCAAAAGAAATTGCCCCCTGATTTATTGCTGAAACCTGTAAGGCTCGAATGTGCAAAACTGATAGTTTTACTAACCTATAAAAACGTCTAGACGCCTACCCAAGCCTAGGCGAGCAACACGCATCCATAAAAATGCTCCCCATAACCACGTACCCTGGGCGCTCGGTTTGTACGGTAAACAGAGCGCGGGCATTAAGGCTTTTATGATAATTCCCCCAAGTTGTGAAAAGCGGCCATCCTTGGTGAAATTAATTTAACGACCTCTCTTCCCCACCCTGTCGTCTCTCCCTGCCTCCTCTCCGCCCCTCGCTCCCCGTCTCCAAACCCCCCTCTTTGTAGACAACCCCGCAGCGAACTGGATCCACGCTCGCTCCACCCGGAAAAAGCGCTGTCCCTACACCAAATATCAGACGCTTGAGCTGGAGAAAGAATTCCTCTTCAACATGTACCTCACCCGGGACCGGCGCTACGAGGTGGCCAGGATTCTCAACCTAACAGAGAGACAGGTCAAAATCTGGTTCCAGAACCGCAGGATGAAAATGAAAAAGATGAGCAAAGAGAAATGCCCCAAAGGAGACTGACCCGGTGCGGTGCGGGAGCGCTCAAAGGCAGCAGTTTTTCTTGTTTTTGTTTTTTCCTTTGTGGGTGCTTGATTTCCAGAAACTCTCCAATGACTTGGACTTCTTTTTGTTTTTCTTCTTCTTCTTCTTCTTTTTTTTTTTTTTTTTTAGGTAGAAGTGACTGTGTGGTTGGTCTCTGTGAGGTATTTGGGGGACTCTGTTTGCTCGCTTATGTGTTGGAAAAACGCAGTGGCTTTGGGGTTTCACCCTATCCCACACCCTCCCTTTCCTGCTCCATTGGTTCCTTAGGAAATGCAATATTTTGTGAGTGCACGCTGGCTTGGGGAGCCCTCTCTTGTGTAAATGTCCCTCATGTTTCTGAAAAGTGCTGTAGTTTAGTCCCCCCACACCCAGCACTGCCCAAACAGGGGCCAAGCGCGCCCCAATTCCAAGAATGAAGGCAGAGCGACAACAGTGCGGACACCCCGGCTGCAAGCCCCTGCCGAAGCCGGCCGCGTTGCCCAACAGTTTCAAAAGCCCCCTTTCCTCAGGGAGCCCGCGGCACCTCAGCGGATATCTTCAGTGAGGCCTAACCCAGGGCCTCGGGTGGGTTGGGGTTTCGTCCTCAGTGCATTGGACGTGCAGCTCTCTTCCCCGAGGGCTGGGCTCGCGTGGGCGGCCGCGGGTGGTGGCTCTCCCAGTTCCTGCCCAAGGACCAGTTGTAAATGTTACTGCTTCCTACTAATAAATGCTGACCTGATCAATGGAGCCCAGATCCTGGCCCTAAACGTTGTGTGCCTGCTTTCTCTGCCTCTCTGCAAAATATCACACTCAGGATATTTCTCCTCCACCCCTGGGAGGGAGACGTTGTTAAAAATCCCTGGCCCTTCCACCTGACAGATCTCTCTGATGTGTCTCTGAGCTTCCCTTTGTGTGGGGAGGTGTGGCCTAGAGCACAGACCCTGGGGGGATGTTGGTACCTCCCCAAGCCTTGTTCCAGCTCCCCTGGGAACTCCATGCTTGGGCACAGTTCAGCCTACCAGCAGCACCCAGAGGAACCAGCAGGCCCCAGAAGCCAGAAACTTTCAGGCTGGAGCTTGGGTACAAAGCACCATAGCCCTCCCTGGCTCCTGGAGCCCACGCCGCCAAACCCCTTTCCAAACAAGGGAAAAGCCAACTCTGCACTGTGGAGCAACTTCCCCAGCTCGGCCAGGCTGGCTGGCTCCGAGAGGTCCCAGCCGGTCAGGCTGTGAGCTTCTGCCCCTCCCTACCAGAGCCCCAAAGTGACCTTAGCGATCAAAATGGTCAAGGCTCTCCTCCCCAGCCACCTCCAACCCACCGCCTCTTTCCCCCCACCCAGCTCCTGTGTATGTTTAGCCCCCAGCTTGGCCCTCTGGGGGCTGCATTCAGGGGCTAAAATGAAGGTCATTGTAAGTGAGGGTTCGGGTGAGCACAGCCTTTGCAGCCCGAAGAGGCAGCGGCGCCGGGTGGCCTGGGCTGGGCGGAAGGTGGGGGCGGTGGCAGAGATCTTGGGGGATCCTGATGAAAGAGGGGACTCGAAGAAAAAGCAGAGGGGGCTGGGAGGGAAAGCCAAGGCCCAGATCCGGCAGAAGGTGCTGCGTACCCTGGCCCCCGTGGCCAGCCCGGTACCTACGGCTCTTTGAAAACAGGAAGAGCCGAGGTGTCATAAAGCCATCTAGCCGGCCAGACGTCTGGAGGTAATGAGTTTACGACGGACCCGGCACTTTGCTTTGAAACCATCTCATTTTGATGTTTGTGTTTGTGGGAGGAAAGGAAAAATGCAGACAAAATTGGGTCTTAAAATCTAGACAATAAAATATAAACAAGATTGCGTTAGACCAAGAAGGCAGGGGCATGGGAAGCCCTGGGTGAGGTGTGAGCACCTAGGAAATAAACATGAGAGACTTAGGGAGGAAGAGGTGATGAATTTCTGATTTTTGAAATAAACCAGGTGCTGGAAGTAGCCTAAGGGTGGTGGAATTTTGTCATATTTTGACTATGACCACGTTTTAGCTGGTTCTTTGGGGGGGAAAAATCGGCCTGTTATTTGGGGGTCCAGCGGTTAGGGATCTTAGGACATTTACCCAGGTAACAATCTCCCAGAAGTGTGGCTCGAGGGAAAAGATGAAGTTAGATGCCTATTCAGAATTTCTGGCCCTCCACTCCAAACTTTGAAGGAAAAAGATTGTTGGGATTTATGTCTATTAACTTTTTAAAAATATGATTGTTACACCTAAATTGGACAAGAGCATTTTTGAAGATGAGTAAAAAGATTAACAGGAAACACTTAAGCCAATTGAATAGTCATATTTTTTAAAAAAAAGTCTAGTTGAATTCCCAGTCAATTCAGTTCAATGACTTTGGATACACATTTTATAAATCCCATTTATTGTCCGTAGAAATTCAAACGAACACAAACGCAAAGGGACTTTCCAGACAGCTACTCAGAGGTCCAGCAAAAAGCTTTTGATTTGGCTTCAATTCCTCCCAAAATCGCCCAGCTAAGTGAGTCCAAAGCATTAAAGTTACACTGTTAAAACAGCAAATATTCATGATTTAATCCTAAAAGCAACAGCTGTGAGAGAAAAACAAAACACAACAATGCTTGACTTCTGTAATTTCTTGGTTGCCAAACTGTCTGGTTCCTCTGGAAAAGAAAAGGCCTCTTGGCAGTTGATATTTAGAAAGTTGTAGGTTTTGTTAAATCTAGCCTGTCCTATAACTGTTTTAAAAGGCGCGGCTGGGCGGTTACAGCATGGGGACCTTAGGTATCTGGCAAAAGAAGGGCTGAAAGCTTTTAGAAAAGGCACTACTGGAAGCTGTCGAGAGCACACATTAGAATACACTAGGCATGCAGGAGCCCCTGTTTGCTGCTCTTCACTTGTTGACAGTCACAGGAATGAAGCATTATTAGTGTCAGCAGTCCAAGCCCCAAGCTAAAGAACAAGATTAGAATTGGTTTGAGATGAATAAAAGGAAGTTAAATTCAGTGGACTGCAAGTGGCATTTGGCCACTAGAGAGCGCTGTTGCTCCACTTTCTGATCTCGTAAAGCCTGAATTGCTGCGGAAGAGGGTTTTGATTAAAAATATTTACAATCTTATTTTTAATTCCAAATTAGGATAAATTTAACAAAAATAAACAAGGTGCACTATTAAATTCTTCCTGTTTGTTGGGCATAAAATTTTGGCTCAGTCAGTGCTTCAGAAAATTTAGACTATGGCACAGCTGAGCCTACAAAACATGATAAATTAATGTATTCTAGCAAAACAGAAACCTGTAAAAAGCATAGATCTTTGCTTACTAAGGTAATCGCGCTCTTTTTCTACTCATATTATAAACGGAATGCTTAAATACATGTTAAAAATTGTTTTGTCCAAAGAGGAAATATTGTGTTGTAATGTTTTCTAAATTTGGCCTGAATACGTATGAATGAATTTTCTAGTGTTCGTTTGTCTTTTTTTCCCTGAGGAATCACGCAGTTCTAGAAGGTGCCTGGTATTGTTGAGATCCTGGCTCTTTCATTTTTTCCCCATTCCATTCCAAAATCCACTCATTTATCCAGGGTTCAAATACGCAAACACACACACACATATGCCAAACTGAAAAAAGGGGCACAATTACAAAGGTAGCTCCAAGGCTTTATTGACAATAATAATCTTTTAATTGGGTATTTGCAAGATTGAAGGACATATCCTTAACTGTCAGAATCAGTTGGTTCGCCTACGGATTTAACGAAAGTGATTATACTTAGCAGTAACCAGCAGAAAAAACAAACCCACAAAAACAAAAAACAAAAAGCCATTGCTCTCCACCTCAAGTCTGCATTCCCTACTAATTTAAAATTAAATAAAGCACGTCTTTATCATCTCCAGATTCATTAACGATTCCTTTACCTTAACCACTGTCAGTCATTCCCAGTAGAAATAATTGAGTCAGACATTATCACCTCACTACGTCTGTCCATCTCGACTTCATTTTCTCCATTTGTGAAAATGATATTTCAGTCCACCCGGACACACCTCAGGATCGCGCTCGCAGGCTGGGCCAGCCCACAAGGAACGAGGGGTAGCTGAAATCGCTCGCCGGCCTGCGGCGTCCCCGAAGCAGGGGGTTTTCGGAAATTTGCATTTGGTGTGGAAAGCTGGCGTAGTGCGTTTAGCTTGAGCGGAGGCGCCTTCGAGGTCTGTTTCCAAGGCTGTGGGCCTGGCGCCCTCACGACATTGTACCTATCCCGAAGGAAATGGGGCTCAGTTATCCAAAGAGCCCACGAAAAAGGCCGGGCAGGAGAGGAGAAGACACACACACACACACACACACACACACACACACTCACAGATAACGACTGCATTTATTGGACATTGAAACCGGAGCAGAGAGGGAAAGGAAGAGTGTGGAAGGCGGTTGGAAGTGCGTGGGGAGCCAGGCAGCTTTGGAGAGAGCTGCTAAAATCAGCAATACTTTGTCGATTCACACTCGACTGGCCCACATGACTCGGGCTGCTTTTCTTCATCACTGCTCACAAACTAGGCTGAGCCTTCTCTTTCACTGCTTTGGGGAAAAAATGGTAACTTTGAGGCCCGCGCGCTCTCTCGGCAGTAATTTCGCAGGCTTGGCGGAGGAACTAGGATCGTTAGCAGAAGATGGGCCGCCTGCAGCTGCCTGGAACCGGCGCGATCGGAACGCCGGCCCTCCTGGGGGGATTCGCGGACGTCGGCCCCCCGCGCTCCGCCAGGAACCGCAGCCCGCCCTGGTCCGCTGCGCGCTGGGGCTGAGACCCCGGAGCCGCCTCCCGCCCGAGGAAATGTCACCCTCCCCAGCGTGAGCCCCTTTTCCCGCCTCAGAACGTTTCTATCCGCTCTTCTATTCACTCTCTCAGCAAGGCTAATGTCCCCTCCTGCATTCTTCAGCCTCCCCCTGTGCCCAGTGCTGACGTCTATCAAGGGTGAAATGATGGAAACTATATTCATGGGCATGATTTCCATTAAATATCAATTAACCTGGGAGCCTCGGCCAGGCATGCGGTGCGTCAAGGGTAAATGTACATCTCATTTCCACAGCCCACTCGGCTGGAAAAGAAGGGTTTTGATTTGATTTGATAACGCCAGGATCTGGGGCCACACTGGCGGCTTTTAATCCAACCACTTCGATATGCCCCAACTCAAATGCACGGTCCGGTCCGTCACACCTCTTGTCCACGTTCCCTGGGCTGTGCCCGCGTGTCCAGAGCTGCAAAAGCCACGGGCAACCTCTGCTGGGCTGCCCTAGGAGCTCGGGGAGGGAGTCATTTGCTCCTCCTGGGAGTGGCCTCCTTGCCTCCCCCAAGTCTAAGGCTCCGCCGCGCCCCCTCCCTGCCGGCTGCGGCCCGCGTTCCCGCGGCCCCGGGGGCACAAGAAGCCCTTGGCAGTGCGGCTTTATGAGCCCCCTTTAAGGCCGGCGGAGGCATCTCGGGCCGGGCGCGGCGCTCCGTCCCTTGGGCGCAGCGGCTGGAGTGCGCGTGGATCCCTCCGCGGGGCTCCTCGCCCCCGGCACGCTGCCTCTCGGTGCAGTGCTGTCCTGCGAAAATGCCTCGCCAGTGCGCACCGGGGCGGCAGCCTCGGCGGCGGGGGCGAGAGCGGCGGGCGGAGGGCGCGGGGGGGGCGCGGTGAGAGTTGGCGGCAGGCAGAGGGTTTTTTTTTTTTTTTCTTTTCCCTCCAGAGCGGGGGTTTGTAAACCGAGGCCAGAGTGTCCCCGTGGGCCGGCGCACTTTTTTTCTTGTCCCGGTGCGCTCAGGCCCTCCTGGTGCCCGAGAGGAAACAGTGGAGGCGGCAGGACCGGTCGCCCGGGGCGTCGGCGATTATATTGCGGCCCAGCCGGGGCGCGCCGGGAAAGGCCGGGAGGGCGGCGGCGCGCGGGGGCTGGGCGAGGCCCCGCGACCCGTCAGGGAGGCGGCGCGAGGCCGAGGCGGCGGGCCCAGGAGCTGGGCATGAGCGCCCAGTAGCTGAGCGCCCGCGGCTGCCCGGCCTCAGAAGCGACGCGGGCGCGCGGGCCGCTGCACCGAGGTAGCCCAGCGGCCCAGGCGGCCAGAGCAGCCGCCCCAGAGGCCCCCGCGGCAGTGCGGCCGAGCAGAGGCGCGCTCCCTGCCTGCTTAGCACCGCCAGGGCGGCCGCCGCCGCCCCAATGAGTTCGTACTTCGTGAACCCGCTGTACTCCAAGTACAAGGCGGCGGCGGCGGCGGCGGCGGCGGGCGAGGCCATCAATCCCACTTACTACGACTGTCACTTCGCGCCCGAGGTCGGCGGCCGTCACGCCGCTGCCGCAGCAGCCCTGCAGCTCTATGGCAACAGCGCCGCCGGCTTCCCGCACGCGCACCCGCAGGCGCACGCGCACCCGCACCCGTCCCCGCCGCCCTCCGGACCCGGGTGCGGCGGTGGGGGCGGCCCGGGCCAGGACTACTTCCATCCCGGCGGAGGCAGCCCGGCCGCTGCCTACAAGGCCGCCCCCCCTCCTCCTCCGCATCCTCTGCCTCCGCCGCCGCCGCCTCCCCCCTGCGGCGGGATTGCTTGTCACGGGGAGCCGGCGAAGTTTTACGGATACGATAACTTACAGAGACAGCCGATTTTTACGACCCAGCAAGAGGCCGAGCTGGTACAATATCCTGACTGTAAATCGTCCAGTGGTAATATTGGCGAGGACCCAGACCACTTAAATCAGAGCTCGTCTCCTTCTCAAATGTTTCCCTGGATGAGACCACAAGGTTGGGATGCAATTTTTTTTTTTTTTTTTTTAAGAGGGGAGAGGGCGAGAAATCTGCTTTCATCTCACGTTCGGGCTTTAAAACTCCCCGTCCTTTTCCCTCTCCACCTCCTTTTCCTTCTTCTGTAGCCACAGTGGCTCTTATTCATAAAGTAATACAGACTTAAAAAAAAAAAAAAAAGTAGAAACCATGTAAAGATGATGGGGACAGAATAATTGTGAAGACCTTCTCTCTGCCCCTCTTGCTTGCACACCCTATATATATCGGAGCCTGTGGACCCCTTGTTCCACAAACCTCCAGCAACATGCAGGGGCACCATTACATTTTTTAAACGTTTATTTCCCCTGTTTTTTGTTTTAATCAGCAGCTCCTGGTAGACGAAGAGGAAGACAAACCTACAGTCGCTTCCAAACTCTAGAGTTGGAAAAGGAATTTCTTTTTAACCCCTATCTGACCAGGAAAAGAAGAATCGAGGTTTCCCACGCCCTAGCCCTGACGGAGAGACAGGTAAAAATCTGGTTCCAGAACAGGAGAATGAAATGGAAAAAGGAAAACAACAAGGATAAATTTCCCGTTTCCCGGCAGGAGGTGAAGGACGGGGAAACCAAAAAGGAAGCCCAAGAGCTGGAGGAAGACATAGCCGAAGGCCCGACAAATTAACTTCTACCTTTAAAATTTTACCACAGACTATTAAATCTAATGATCACCATATGCTGTGGACACCACCTATTTTCTTTGTTGAAAAAGACTTTACCTGTGTTTCAAGCTACCTTCATATCATTGCTCTTGAGGTTTCTGCGCTTTGAGAGGGATTTGGGTGTTTTAAAAAGTTTCTAGTATCACATAGAAGCAGTCCTTGAGCTGTCCTATGGAAGGGTAATTTGATAGTGACCTTGTAGCTATATTTTTATAATGGTTTTTAATGTCTGAGCTGGTGATTTTCCTGAACAACGTAAACTTCCTAATGATTAGCATTTAATAATTGAATATAAAATGCTTTATTAATCAAGCAAGTGCACTTGAACATTTAATCTTTATGGTTAGTAAGTTAAAAGGAGTCTATAAATTTTTTTAAAAATTATGTCTGCAGAATATTTACTTTATATTATTTGATTACAAAGCATTATTTATGGATTTTTTTTCTTCTTTCTTTTATAATGAATGGTTCGGGTGCCTTTTGTTTACTCCTAAGAAGTTTCTTTGTGTATTTTCTAAATATAACATCTCGGGGAAAAGGCTGGGCCAAATATTTGAAAGCACATGTTAGCTAAAGAGTGTGACGTGTAGTTCAGCTCTGCAGCTTCCTTAAACTTCAGGAAAAGATTGGGCCAGTGACAAGAGTTTCAAGACAATGTCAAAGTTGACAATTATTTTTCTATAGTCCATACAAAGTAAATAATCTAGAGTGAATAAATACTTGAAAAATTAATTATGATATTTTTACTCATTAACTTTTCACTCTGGCAAGTCACCTTGTAGAATGCATCTCATTTCTTAATTTGCTTTCGTTTTGAACCGCCCTTGTAATCGCCCGAAAAGTCTGGCTTTGTATGCTGTGGCTGCTGCTGTGTTCCATTTTTTTTTTCAGTAGATGCCATATTTATTTGTATTGTTTTGCTCTGTTCGCCTGCTAGTTTTAAACCAGCTTGCTGTGTGCGATGTCGGTTGGTACATCCTCTGCAGTTCTTCAGAAAAGCAATAGCCTCCCCTATTTGAAACAAACCCTGAGAGGAAACGCAGAAAAATCTGAGTGTAAACAGCCACTCCAGAATATCTCTAGTTCCTTAATAAAGAAATGAATGTCTTTCTAGAGTTAGTGTCTTTGAGCGCCGCAAATACCCGTTTTCCCTGAGTCACTAGGCTTCTGTTTAATAAGAAAGGGGTGGAGTTACACACATCTCGAGCTGTTAAAAAAAAAAAAAAAAAAAAATGCGGCAGGGGCCCCTTCTCCTTCCTGAGAGGGCTGGCTAGTCTATCTTGCTCTAAATAATCTTGCTAAGATACTCTTAAGAGCTTTGAACCTCTTAAAGGACTCAAGTTGTAGGCCCAGTGGGAGACGACCCAGAGTCCAGGTTACACCACAGCTTATTCCACTGAGCCAGTGTTGATGCTGAGTTTTGGCATCTGTTATTAACAAGATATCCATTTTCCATTGGAGGCTGCTCCTGCAGCTGCCATTTTACAGGGGAAAGTGGGGGACAGGGAAGAGGAGCAGGGAAAATAGAGGAGAAATTCAAGTAAAGTAACATTTAGTCCCGAAAAAGGGAAAGCACCTTTATTAGGTAGTCATCGAAGAGCTCTCTGCTTTCCCTAACCATGTTTGTTTTCAAAGGGGTACATTTTTATTTTCCGAGTTGCTTTTATTACATAGGTAAGAAAATGGAATCCTATCGTTTTGGGCCAGGGTCACCCCATTGAGTTTTTTCGGGCTGTTTGCCTGTAGCTTCCTGGGCCACAGAAATGTTGCCACTGGCCAAGTCAGAAGGAAAGCACCACCTGGCTTTCCATGCTGGAAAGAAGTGATGGCTGTGATATTGTCCGACCTGAACCAAGAAAGATAAGTCACAGGTGGCCCAAGACTTAAAACATTTGCACTCCAAGAGACAGCTGTAAATGCAAATGCTGGATTTGAGAATGTTTTGCTCTGTGCACTGCTTGAGACTCTTCTGTTGGCTGATACAGAGTAAGGATGCCAAGGGCCAAGAGGTTGGGGAACAGCCTGCAGTGTAAACCATCCAAAGACAAGTGCTGGCTGAAATCCAGCTGCCGTGGATTTAAAGGACCTGGGACTCCTTTGTATATTAGCAAAACTGGCTGTCTCCTGCTCAAGGATGCTCACCAAATGCTTTTAGAACCTTGAAATGATTTAGGCAAGACTGTCACGTGGGAGCTCTAATGTATGGGTGGGTATGGAAATCAAGGAAGGAAGGGTAGGTAAAAGTGTCATTTCTTCAGCATTCTGTGCTGGTCTGGAAGCATACCTTCTGGCCCCACCGGCTCCCTAAACCATGGTAAATTCATAGCTCATGCACAGACAAAGACCGTTGCAATAGCTAGTGTATTTTAGAATATAAATTTGGATATATACATAGCTTACACACATGCCCAGAGTGTTGATTATCAATGTAGGTAAATGTTTCCTTTTGTAGCTAGGAAAGAGCATAGATTTGTGTTCAAATAAAGACCTTGGGGAATTACGCATCACACACACACTTGCCACCTTCTTTCTTACACTGACTACACATCCCCACCCCCATTATGGTGTTTCATGCAGACAGAGTAGCAGTGACTTGCGCACAAGGTGCCCTTCTAATTGGCTCAAATGTGTCAACATCAGAGCGTTGAGGCAACAAGCGAACATTTTTTTGCTGCAGAAATTTGCATAAACCTTCAGAGAATGCTTTGCCATCCCAAGCAGCACTTTTCAGCCCTGGACTGCGGCAGTTTGCCTGGAGAGGTCTGTAAACGGTTTAGAGAAAAATAGTACTCTCCAATGGTAATGCCGAATGAAAGAACCAGGCCTTCTGAGTGATTTAGGCTCTTGGTTTGCAACGACCAGAAACACACTAAAGAGAGTGTGGGTCTCAGTGGTTTTCAGAGAAGTCAGTTCAAGGATGCCATTTTGTGAGGTTCCACAAAGCCCACTACAAGGCTTACCGCCATACAAGTGGAGAAAATGTAAATATGGCTGCTTTTTCAGTGCAAAGTCTCTTCGCGGCCCTCATTCCCCAAGCTGAAAAGGAGAGTAGTAAAGCTCTGCTTTTATTTGGGTAAGACAGGGAGCGGATAATGAAGCAAATTGACTATTGAGATTACTTCTCAGAAAATTTTGGAATTGAACAAGTTCTTTGCTCATATATATATGTATATATATATGGAATATATATATATGGAATATATATATATGTGTGTATATATATATATATATATATATATATATAATACATACACACACACACACACACACACACACACACACCAGTATACCAGTGTGAAGTCTTCTGGGCTTGTGAGGGCCCAACAATCCCCATCTGCTTGTGTAATTTAAAATATTGTTTTCTGCTGCAATACAGAAGGTAGTGCTATTTCACATCCAAGCTTGTTGTGCTCTCTGCTTCCCCGGTGTTTGCTGAATCCTTGGCATCTGGGGGTGAACATGGAAGGAGAGAGAACATTTTAATGGACGCTGGCTGCTGCCGAGGTTCCCTCCAGCAAAGTTAGGGCCCACTGGATTTTTTTCTAGAAAGAATATGACTTTTGCTGACAGATGGCAGCAAAAGTCCTTTAATCAAAAACATCCAAGGTCATCAGAACTTTTTCAAGGGATAACAAATGGCCTGCTCCAGAGGGTGCTGTGCTGCTTCCTGCTTCAGTCCACATACACTTAGGCACTTACTGGGTGTGATGATGTTAATAGCAGAGAACTTATACACAGATATCCAATACAAATATTTGTAACATAATATTGTAAGTGCAAAGATACTGTCTTTAAAAGGATGGGGCGTGGTGAACCTCTTTCAGGCAGGTTCTGAAGGCTGGATGGCTATGCCCATGAGGGGACTGCTGGAGGCCAGCCAAGGACATTTACCTTCAGGGGGAGTTCTCCATAACAGTTCCTGTGAAAAATATAAAGGGAATGTGACACTGGCATTTAAGGAAAAGGAATCATTCTTTTTTCTAGGCTGATCTGAGGAAGCCACTCTTTTCCTGAAGAAGTGTTACCCCTTTTCAGTATTTCGTTGAACAAATTTTTCAATGGGGAAACATTTGGGGTCAAGGAGAGAGGGAAGAACTAGAATTAAATTCCATAACAATGAGAATTGTTCTTAGAGGGGGATGTAGACCAAGGAGTTTCAGAAGGAATCCAGAAACCACCACCCTGTCTGTCCAGAAAGATGCTTCTGTGGAGAAAGACCAGGCAGCGGGCTTTCAAAAGGGTATTTCGGTGAGATTGACAAGTACCTAAAACCATTTCCAGCCTTTAAGCTGGTTGGTGATTATCCTATGGCAGAACCTCCAGGGAATGGGAGGGACCCAAATTTACGTTGTAGTTGAGGGGGCACACTTTCTTGGCCTGCAGAGACTGGGTGGGTTTTCTTCCCAAGATCACTGGGACTAGCTTGCAAGGAGATGAGTGGGAGGGGAGAAAACCGAAAGTGGTTGACTGGCTTTGGGGACAGGCCGTTTCCTGAGGGGAGGGGAAGAGAAGCCAAGTGCCTGGCACAGGGTAAGAAATGGGGGGATGTTGCTCTGGGGATCGCTTCCCCAGAGCGTGAGCAGTACATTGAGTTCATTTTCCCTCCTTCACAATGGCCAACTTCGCAGAGGTTTTGAGCCAAACCAAAGAAAAGAACACACACACACACACACACACACACACACACACACACACACACACACAATTCCTAGAAAAAGAGAGAAAGAGAAGTGGGGGAGGGAGGGAAGAACCACGAAGGGAAGAAAAAAGGGAAAGGTGAAGAGGGACAGAGAAAGAAAGAGGAGGAAGGAAGGAAAGAGAGAATGAAGAGAAAGAGGAGGAGGAGAAGGAAGAGAGGAGGCGGGGGAGAGAGAAAGCTAAAGAGGAAAAAACATGGCGCTTGCGAGCTGTATGTGCAAAATCCGCAAGGAATTGCAGTAAATTCCTTTTTGTTTGAAGAAAATTTACAACTTGGTAATAGACCTTTTTATGACCTATTTGCGGTCGTCATTGGCTGCTGCTGGTCATGTGCAGGCGCCGCTCGCCTTCACGGCCTTTTTCCTGATTTCCCAGGCGAATTTCCCCCCGCATTCTGCTGTCCCAGAGCCTCACCCCCTCTTTTTCTAACCTTTGTCTCTGCAGCGGTGGGCTCCAGTCGCCGGCTGCGGGATTGCGGAGTCGGCGGCAGCCTCGGCTCCCGCCCTGGCCCCACCGCCGCTCCCTCGGTCTGCACCGCTACCACCTCCCGAGCTGGTGGGGAGCCTGGGGGAGGGAAGGCCTGGAAGGGGCCCTAGGCGCCGAGTCCCCCGCCGGCGCCGATACCGCCTGCCGGGAACAACTGGCCTGCTCGGGGCGACTACAGCCGCGCGCTTCCGACGCGGCTTCTTCTCCAACATGAGCGGGTCCCTACTGCCGAGAGTGCGCGCCTCGGGGCAGCGCCAAGTGGATTACAGCCGCCGCCCGGACCGACCGCCGCCTGCAGCAAGGCAGCCTTCGGGTAAGAGTCCCCTCCTCCCCGCGCCCCAGCATGCCACCAAGAAGCCTAGGGCGCCGACCCCCTTGGGCAGCTCGGGGAGTCCAGCTGCTCCCCTACATTTCCCCGGGAACTAGGGGTCGTTGTCTGAGCCCCTTCCCCCAATCACTTCGTTGTTAGGGCGTCCCCTGGGTCCTGGGGTGGGATCCAGCTAGGTTCAGAAGTCTAAGCGGGTAATAGTATTTCCTCCAGAGATTCTGAGAAATGGGTAGCCACAGACAGGATCCCACTGCCTAGATGGAGAGCCCCTCAATCCCACCCTGGGAAAGTGTGTAGACGGGTTATTCCTGAACATCTCCACTTTGCTGGGGGTCACTAAAGGCATTTTATTTAGAGCTGTGGTTTTTACGGTGGTACCTGGGAGGCTAACAGGTGTTTTTTTAGGGTTGGGGCTTGGGTGGGGGTGGGGTGAATTCTGTGTTCCCAGGATGTGCTTGGTGTTTGAATCTAGGCTTTGGTGACTGATGCTGGTTTATTTCTATGGTTGATGGTTTTATTGGGCCTTGTGATGTATGAGATGGAATTTTAAATATTTTCAAATTTTTCTCTAGTTCTTAGAGAAATTTTTAAAGAACTCAAGATAGGCTCTTCCCACGTATGATAATCTGTCAGGTTAATTTAGATTACTTTACATCGCAAAACGAATGCATGTTTTCGGAGGTAATGGTATCAGAATATCTGGTGCAGGTCTTGGAAAAAAACCAGTAGATCTTTCAGAAATATAAGGCATCTCTGTGTTCAAACATAGTGTTTTTCTTATTTGCCAGAGTAGATCTTTTATCTTTTTGCTCTCTAAATGTATTGGTAGGTTTCTCTCTCTCTCTCTCTCTCTCTCTCTCTCTCTCTCTCTCTCTCTCTCTGTCTCTCTCTCTCTCTCTCTCTCTGCCTACCAATAAATATTACATTGCAACATCCTTCCTTTGACTTCAAAACTACTGAACTGAAACAATATGTATAAAAGAAAATCCTTTGCAGAAGGAAAAAAAGCTATTTTCTCCCACTGATTTTGAATGGCACTTGAGGATGCAGTTCGCAAATCCTATTGCCTATTCCCTCGTGAACATTGTGAAATGAAACCTTTAGACAGTCTGCCGCATTGCGCATGAGACTGGCCTGCGCAAGCCGAGGGTATGGTCCCCAAAGCACCCAGTGGTAAATCCTAACTTATTGTTCCCTTAAAATTCCAGTGTAACAGCATTGACCTTAAAAGCGTTTCTGAACAACAACAACAAAAATGTCATCTTTGTGGAAAGATTTTTTTTTTCTAATTAATGACGGAATCATGCTCATTTCAAAATGGAGGTCCACGATTTGTGGCCGGTTGATGCCTGCAAATTCTCCTGGATCACTAACTCTGATCACTTACAAATAAGAAACCTTGAGTGATTTGGTTTTTAATTTGGAGTGTTTGTATTTTGTAACTATTTCTCTACTACAGTTCAATGGCCTTTGAGATAATTATTTGATCGGAGTAAAAATATATTCCCCACTGAAAAGCAGGCACCTGGATCATGGTTTCTAGGCCCCGCCGAGTAGATCCGGATCAGGAAGAGTCCCTAGGTCCGATGGGACCCCAGTGAGGGGTAGGGGTGCGGCCCTGACGGCCAAGCTCTAGGTTCAGAGCTTTATTACTTTTCCCTGGGTTCTGTAGCCTAGCGCGCTTGGGTAACTGAAAACCTGGGTTGGCTGCTGGTCCGGTTACACAGCACAGGTTGATGTCATGGGCAGATGTGGAAGACTGAAGAGCTCTTTGTAAGCCCCGTGGTAGCATTAATTCTTATTGGAACGATATGGTCGATTGCATCTAAGGGAAATAATTCGCAAATCACAGGAACTTGGGCCATTAGTCCACAAGGAGACTAGTTCGTGCTGTTGCCACTGGCGGAAATAACCCCATTGTTTCTGTTAACCTAACAAAAAAAAAAAAAAAAAAAAAAAAAAAAAAAAAAACAAAACCAAAAAAAAAAAAAAAAAAAACGAAATTTTAAAACGTGGGACCCTAAGAGCTGAGAAGCCCGGAAGTGTAACTCGCAGCGTCCTTGGCCCAAACCTCTGTCCTCGTATAGATCAGGGAGCCGATAACATGTCCCGGTCTTGGTGACAACGGGTCAGGCCGTAAGCTGGGCTTGAGATCTCTTCGAGGACCAGGAGAAAGAGCGAAGCTCTCAAGGGTAAATGTAGCCAACCACGAGGGCTAAAAACGAAGCGTATTTTCCCATCAGATGTTTCTACAAATAAATACATTTCGCCAGAGTTCTGTTTTCTGAACCCGAGAGGCTAGGGAAATCGAACAAAGACAGTATTTCACCCTGGGTTGGCAGGCAGCTGTTAGAGGTATTTACGGCCTTGCCTTGCCGCAGTGCGGCGACCAGGCAGCGGAGTAGGGATGCGGGGGCACCGGAAGCTCGGGAGAAGCCACCAAGAACTCAGAATTCCAACTGAAATTCAATTTAGGGTCATGTTTTCTGAAATGGCGTGAACAGATGCCCTCTTTCTAGGGACTGGTCCTTTCGATTTGGTAGTTTTGCAGAATAAGGGAGACGTTGTGCTCTCCGGATGCAGGGTGGTTTTCCCCGCCTTGAAGAACGACTCAGGGGAAGCAGTGCCCTAGATGTGACACTTCTGATCCACATGACAACGTTTAGAGTGTTCGTTGGCAACGAGGAGATGCTGCTTGTTCGGCGGAATAGGGTTTGCAAATCAGAAAGGACAGTTGAGGCTTTGAATACAGGGTTTCCAGAAAAAGAAAAGTATGCTTCCTGCTTCTTTGAGATGAGGTTCTCAAGCGCCTCTGCATCCAGGCCTAGAAGCGGTGCGCGGTGCCTCATCCGCGGTGCGCGGTGCCCGCCTCCCGCGGTGCGCGGTGCCCGCCTCCCGCACCGCCCAGGGCCTCGCAGCGCGCTCTGTACACACGCGCGCCAGGCATCCAGCGCATGTGCAGTGAAATGACCCAGCCCGGGGACTCCATCGGCCAAGCGCGGGTGGGGGCAGTGGGCGAGTGGACTCGAGCAGGAAGATACACCCGATCTTTCCATTCCCTCTTGGTCAAGGCTCGCTACTCATCTTGCCTTTATCTCAGCCTTCCCTGTGTAGCTAGCTGAACAGTTCGACCTTTGGCTGCATTTCCAATCATCATGACTTATCACCTCACCCCAATTTAAAGCTGTATGCTAGACACAGGCTGCAAATACGAGATGGGGGCCAAAGGAATACTCTTCTTTCCAGTTGTTATACACACACACACGCACTCACGCACACACACACATCATATAGTATATATTTGCCCCTCGGGGAAGGCTCTAGATTTTTTTTCAGCCTGGTGCTACTGCTTTGGGAAAAGGCCTTTCCTTCTGGCGCCTGCTCAAACAGCCAAACTTCAGGCCAGTCTTTCAGCTCGACCATCCCTGGATCCTGTTACGCCAGCACAGCACGTTCGAGGGCTCTGGGGAGGGGGGTTGGTGGCAGCGGCTGGGCTAAGAGCAGTCAAATAAATAAATAAATGAACAATTAAGGGCTTCTTTCGCCTGGGCTCGCTTGATTAACGGGGGACGAGCGCCTCTGGGCCACGAGGTTGTTGTCTGTGCTGGGGTGGGGTGTAGGGGATGAGAGACGGCCTCAGGGCCCTCTCGCTCATTCCAGCCGCCCCAGGGGACATTGCACATTCTGGTGCGGGGAGACCTCCGCCCGCCCGAAGTCCCGACCTCAGGTTTCCGGGGCTGGTGGTCTCCTTGCTCTGCTGTCTAGCGCCTCGTCCAGGAGGAGGCGCTGTAGGACAAGCGTCTCGCCGGCTGCGGCAGGCCGGGAGGGCGGGAGCGGAGGGCTCGCCACTCGCTCCTCCCTCTCCCCCGCCCTCTACCTCCGCGCGCAAAGTGTGTGAGGCCTCCAACAAGGGTCGACGGTGCTGCGCCCAGCCCCAGGGGTTCCCTTCGCCAGATCGGCAGTGGAAGCAGCTCCGAGGCCAGGGAGCCTAGGGTCGTTCCGGGTTGGCGGCCCACCTCGCTTTCTCCACCCTCCCAGAGGGGGCGCGATTTCCTCTTGCTGCGCTCTGTGAATCCTGTGTGGGGCAAGCTGCGCCCAATCTTCGGATCCCAACCAGCCCCTCCCTCCTGCCGTTTACCTTGGCCCGGACTCCTGGTACCCAGAATGGACAGACTTGAAAACTACATCCTTTAGTGCCACCTCGAACAGGCTGATGGGCCTTTCCTTTGCTCACTTAGAATAGGGCCTGGGTCCTGGGAATCCCTGGAGACTCTCAGAGCTTGGGTAAATTCTTTTTGCTCAACAGCTTGAGAGAACTAGCCAGATGCGGATGTCTACTTCACACCACCCACCCACCCTTCTACCACCGTGTCGCTCATTTCAGGCCTTTTGCGGGCTCTACTGGGCATTCTTCGCACCAGCTTCAAGAGCCAGTGACACCTTACTTAAATAATGCTCTGGCCCAATATCACTGATCCTCTGTTATCTCTTAGCAACAGTCTTTTGCTCCACTACCGCCACCGCCCTTCTGGAGGGCAATGATTCTCAGTGAAGACCTGCATCAAATCTCTTGTTTATAATGCAAGTTTCTGGGTCCTATCCCAGACCTACTGAATCCCAATATCCAGATATGATACCCAGAGATCTGCATTTTGTAAGCACTCCTCCCCACAGGGCAGTTAGTCTGCAAGCTTATGTTTGAGAACTACTGGTCTCTTATCTCTCCCACTCCTTTAATGATTACTTGTTCTCCAAAGATCAAGTTCCCTCTACCTCGACAACTAGGCATTCCCCAGAGCTCCTAGGGTTCCACCCAGGGTTGTGTTTTTAATGTCACCACCCTATGAGCTGAGTACTTTCTCCCATTTTAGGGAAGGCGCCATGGATCCCTTACTTTTGGGTTGGAGATTTCAAAGACAGCAGTTATGGGTTCAGACTGCCATGGTACCACTTACCTGTTGTGTGACCTTAGGCAAGTACTGAAACTCTCTACACCTGTTAATTTCTTTGAAAAAGAGGGATAAGAGTACTTTCAAGAGTTTCTACGAGAATTTTTACTTACTTGCACTACTATATGTCAGG